TTTATTTCAGTATTCAAAATACTTCTGTATATATATATTATCTTTCATATTAATCGACTTTTATATTAACAAACCCTTAATTAAAATAAAGTTAAATGGTACGAAATTATAATATGAAACTTTAATTATAAACTGTCCACTAATTATCAGGCGGTATTTCGCGCGCTCGTGAATTAATGCGCGACATAGAGTCCTGTAGTTGTGAAATTAACATGATCCTGCTTGTGACATCGATAGTGGTTATGCTTTTTATGACATATGATATTCCCTAATGTTGATACAAAATACACAAACCAGCTCGACGATTTGTAGTAGCGATGTAACGCACGACAGAGTAACGATTCGTGCCTAATTGCCGGCGTGGCGAGGTCGTAATGAATTGCCATTGTAATTCCCCGGGTGGCTTCAAATTCCCGATCGATCAGCAAAAGACAATAACAATCGCCGCTGGACGCGTACTGAATAACGGGCGCAGGTCGGGTTTCTTGTTAATTAATCGCCTATAGCTTCGTGAGTTATCCAGTTAAAAATTACATCAGTTTAGTTAGAATTTACGACGAAGAGTCGAATGTTTGATACCGCGTGAATGAAATGTTCCGACTTTGAGCGGAAAATCGGTTCCGCCTTCAAACAAAAGAAACATTTTGTTTTAAAACGGTTTGAGCAAAATGTTTAACTCAAATCAATAAAGAAAATGAGAAAAATATTCATTTGAGAAAATAACGATTTGTAAGTATGAAGAATTCTTAAGAATTCAACTTTGGTGTTATAAATAAAACTTTGCTCTTTGTATAATTACAAATAATTAAGAATTTCGTTTTTGCTTATTTATAAAAATACTCTGAATTTAAAAATTAAATTAAATTTTTTTAAAACGGGAAAAAAGGAATGCGAATAACGAAATTTTTTTAGAGAAAACAATGCGTGCAAAAAACGGAAAACGCGTTGCAGCATATTTTTCATTTAATTTTAAGTTAATTTTCATAGAATATTCATACAACAAGAAAAACTGGTCATTCATTAATAAAACTGAGCGCATGATCGCGAACAAATTTCGCGAAATCGATTGCGTTCTATCTAAATGTCATTCCGATACTCAGATTCATAAAATCCGATTTGATATGTCTAATTTAACAGCGCATTTACTGCGGAAGCTATTCGCGAGACATTCTCCACAACTAAACTCCAATTTGTCAGCCTGATGCATCGCCCGTTTACTTCCGTCTGTTTGCGTCAATAAAGGGCAAGTTAGGATGCAAGAAATTTAAGGTCAACGAGCATATGAAAAATGCAGGCACGCAGTGATAGCGACGTCTATCGAGATTTTCCGCGAAGCTGGATGACGCTTTGCAAATTTAACGAATAAATCGCGTACGATTAAATTAATAATTTCTTGCAATAAAAATATAGAAGTACAGTATTTGCTTAGGCAAATAAAAACGCTCATCTATCGCGCGAACGAGAGATCGGCTGAGAAAGTTTTCTACGTCGACGTCGAACTTGTCGACGGCGAAAGGGGTCGAGTTACTCTCCGGTGAATCACTCTGTGTAATCATCGCGAAACCCTTCTGAAAAACAATCGAATCGCCTGGCCGGAATTCATTGTGGCTGTCGCGAAGAACTGCAACTTCTTAATTCAATCGTCGAAGGGTCGTCCAGCTTTCTCGGATCGGACAATGTCCGACGACTAAAATACAGTGCTCGCGATGGTCGGAAGTGTGCATGACTAACTCTACATTCAAGTTAATCTAGATGGTCAATTTACATTTATCTGAGATCAGGAAGTAAAGCGCGATTTAATTGCTGGCGCATTGACAGCACTTGCATTCAGTTTCTGATTACTTGCAATCATATCGCATAGATATACGAAAAAATATTGTATATTCGTGCAATTTTCACCATGTCTATAGAAATTAACAAGAAGATGAGAAACGCTGATTAATTATCGCTGCGTTATCATTCGTTAGACGCACGTGGATGATCTTGTTGCAGAAGATGCACCATGTTGGAATACTATAATTAAGTAATTTTGAATTTTTGCGTGACACGCGTGACTCTTTTGACGCAGATTAAGTGGAACAATTAATTTCATCTATTAAAAAACAAAGAATTAAATAACTCTAATATGTAATATATTTTAATTTTTCTATTAGAAATTAATAGCAGCTGATCATTAGAGTGCTTACAAATAAAAAATGAAAAGTTGAACAGAAAAATTAATATCGGTTCGACTATAAAAACAAATTTTTGTTACGAATACGTTAAAGTTTTGCACGATGTGGGGTACATTCTGTATTCTTTCAAATCTTCAAAAATTGTTCTACTGTACCTCGATTTTGTTTTTACATTTTTATGTGTATAAGCGATGTCATGTCTCGCGTGGACTTTCAACGTAACAACATATTTGATGCGTTGCAATCAAGATCTCGCATGCACGACATAGCAAACTTGATTTGGTGCGTTATGTATGCGCTATGTGTACGGCTCTAATAATAGATGTACCTAACCGATAAATGCGAACCGATAAACAACCACCAACGCAAACGCTTACGCTCTTTACGGTTCGGCATGCAGGAACCTAATAGGACGCGACATTCATGCGGATTTTCCGAAAAGTGGTGCACCGTTTTATCGGAAAACAACAGTGAAACAAATAAGAAATTGATACTCGCACATCTCTTAAATTCATTACGTTACAACATTCTTTTATGAAGAATGATGAATGATGTTCAAGAAATTCAGCATTTTCTTTACATATCTTGGACCAAAATTGGAAGAACAGAAACGGGAATAATCTCGATCCCTTCTCGTCTTATATTTATCGCTTAAAAGTTTTACCGAAATTATATATGTAGTACTTTTGATTATTGATTTTACATATTTAATATAACACGCTATTATAGAAAACATATTTTAAATTATTCTAATTGTACGTTTTTAAATTTGTTAGTTTAAAAAAATTACCATTATATTGTCAAAGGCATGATTGCGATGCTCTTATATTACTATGTATCGGTAAATACAAAGCTAGCAAGCTTAGAACGGAAGCAGCTGCGCTGTTGCTGGTGCTAACAGTAAGCGCAGTTTCTTGTATCCGAAAGAGACAAAGGATAATGAGGCTGTGTTATGTATAATCAACTTCGCGTTCCTGTGAGCGTGCCAGGTAATCAGAAGCTTCAATCTGCATCGTTGGACATCGCATTTTAGAATTATTAACTTAGCTCTTATTAAACGCGAGAGCATGTAAAACATACAGAATATTATTAACACTAGAATTATCAAAGGCAATCGAAATGACTAATTTGTAATATTTTTTTAAATTACTCAAAATAATGATGCATTTTCTGAAATTTTCGATGACTTTTATTGAAATATGTAAATGATTAAGCAATTTGCTTCTCTCCTTTATGTCTTTTTTAAAAAATACACGTATACACTTAAATAGTAGAAATTAATATCGTCGATAGTTTTCTAGTGTTAAACGAGTTTTCGGATGAACCATTCAAAACGGTATCGTTAAAATAGTATTAGTTGTGAATTGTATTGTATATTTCGACCTTTCACCGTGCATGATATTCCGATTAAAATTTCTGTCATGCACGTGTATCCGAAACGCGTGCATAAGTAATTTATAGAATTTTGCATCTAGATTTTACAACAACCGACATTCTGTTGCATATGCGACTGTCGAGAATATCGAGAGAGAGAGAGAGAGAGAGAGAGAGAGAGAGAGAGAGAGAGAGAG